TTTTTAGAGAGATGGTGATAGACACAAATGTGAAAGCCGATGATTTCACTTGTGCCAGTGTGCTTTCTGCAGCTGCTGACCTGGCTTCCATGTGTCATGGGAGGGAGATTCGTGCTCATTTAATTAGGACCAGGTTAGAGTGGGATGTGGGTGTTGGTAATGCACTTGTGAACATGTATGCTAAGAGTGGCTGCCTTGGCTATGCATACAGAGTTTTTGACCAAACAGAGTACTATAATCTTGTCTCATGGAATAGCATTATTGTTGGATTTGCATATCATGGGCTAGCAAGAAGGGCAATTGAATTGTACGAGGAGATGATGGGAGTAGGGTTGAAGCCAGATTCTGTTACATTACTCGGACTTCTAATAGCTTGCAATCATTCAGGACTTGCAAATGAGGGTCAAAATTTCTTTAATTCCATGATTGAAGTTTACGAGATCACTCCTAATATTGAGCATTTCTGCTGCCTCATTGATTTACTAGGACAGGCTAGGAGAGTGAAAGAAGCTTTAGAGTAGATGTCCATATATTCATTTGGGGATGTTCAATTGTTTTAGGTTGTTTACTTTCAGCATGCCGACTGCATGGAGATGTTATAGCTGGGGAAGAAATGGCTAGAAGGCTTCTAAAACTTGAGTCTGTTACCACTTCACCTTATGTATTGTTGCCAAACTTATATGCTTCAAATGTCTATATATGTTTCCATTTTTCGCCTCCTGTTCTTGATTGCTAACTAGCTACTGCTTTTTCTAAATTCTGTCACTTTTTTTTAGTTTTGGTCACTTTTTATAATGTGTCACTATTTTCTATTACTTTTTTAATTTTTTGGGCACTTTTTTGACTAACAAAATCACTTTTTTATAAAAGTGAGATTGTGTTACATATCACTTACTTAATTTTATGCATTACCATCCTTGGATGTCAAAGTTGCCCGCCAATTTTATTAAATTTTTATAAAAGTGACATTGTATCACTTTTTAAATTTTTGTCACTTGTTTTATGTTTTTGTCACATTTTTAATTTTTGTCACTTTTTATGAAGATAAAAAAGTGAAATAATATGTTATATTTTCCTAACATAATCAGCATGTGGATTGGCTTGGACGTGCTGATTATTTTAAGAACATGATTACCGGTGTTGCACAAATGGATGACGTTATTTTGGTATTTGTCATTTTTTTTTGAGTTTATGTTACTTTTTTGAGTTTGTATACTTTTTGAAAATGCCATTTTTTTTTAGTTTTATCACTTTTTTGAGTTTGTGTCTCTTTTTACAAAAAAATTTTAAAAAAAAAGAAAAAAGTGACAATTTTTATAAAAAAAAGTGACATTGCGTCACTTTTTCATTTTACACAGTATTTTTTACTTCATAAAAACCTTTCATATGATTTTTCAAAATATCCCTAATTTTAAAGGTATTTTTGTAAGTACCCCTTAATTAAATCACTGAACAACGTAATTAATACGTTAAAACGTCCCCAAACCTCCAAACCCTTGAAGCCTTCGTGAATGAGGAGAGTAGCATCACCACCATCTTTCACAATTCAAATTGGGTCTGTCACCGGGTCTCCAATCGAGAGCCTGCTCAGCATACCACCAATACTTGTAGAGTTTTCACCCTTCCAAGTGAACGTCGTCGCCGCGTGTTCCTCGGTAGAAAAGATGTTGCATGAACACCATCTCACTACCCAAAGTAGTTAACTCCCAATCAATATGGTGGTTTGGATGGTCACGTTGTCGGTGATTCTGATTTTTGTATCGATACATTTTGGGAGGGAGGCTTGACTGAAAGTAGATGTAAGGAGGCGTCGTTTGGTAATTTTTGGAAATGGAAATTTGAGGTGGGCTTATGATGTTGCTTGGTGGCGGTTTTACGATGTTGGCCGAGGATCAGTTGTATTCGGCTTTGCGATGGTGGCAGTTGGAGTGGGGGCTTGCGATTGGGAAAGGTGGTCGACAATTTGGGTTGCAGCTGAGGTAGGTGAGGCAAAATACTGGGGAAGATGGGTCATCTAGCGATTGGTTTACAATGATGGTGGAGGGCGCAACTGCAGCAGCGGGTTGTGATTGTGATCGTGGGTTGTGATTGTGGTTGTCGATTGTTCAATTAGTAGAATCAGCGGTGGGTTGCCGGTTTAGGAACAGCCAGCAAGGATAAGTTGTCCTATAAAAACAACGGTGGAAGATGGGTCGAGGTGGTGAATGAGAGGAGCTTGTCAAAGTGGGCACATCCCTTAAATCCTAAAATGCTACTATTTTCCTCTGATCTCAACTAAATAAGCATATGCAGTAACACTTTCAGAAACCTTTTCAACTAAATGAGCTTCATGATAATCCTTTTCAGAAACTATGTCATGAAACTGACCACTCTCACTGATTAAGTCATTCTCAAGAAATTTTATATTTCTTGATTCCACAATCGTAGTACTGTGAGACGGACAATAGAATCTATACCATTTGGACCTTTCAGCATATCCAATGAAATACCCACTAATGGTTATTGGGTCTAGCTTCTTCTCTTGTGGGTTATAAATTCTCACTTCAGACAGGCATCCCCAAACACGTATATGCCTCAAACTTGATTTCCAACCTTTGAATAAATCAAAAGGTGTCTTTAGGACAGCCTTGGTTGGAACTCGGTTTAATATATATGTGGTCGTCTTTAGAGCTTCAGCCCATAATGATTCAGGGAGTTTCGAGTTGCTCTGCATACTTCTCACCATGTCCATTAAAGTTCGATTTCTTCTTTTCGCCACACCATTCTGATCTGGAGAACCATGCATAGTGTATTGGGCAACAATCTCATGTTCCTGAAGAAACTTCGCAAATGGACCAAGCGCTTGTCCACTCTCTGTGTATCTACCATAGTACTCTCCACCTCTATTTGATCTCACGATCTTAATTTTCTTTCCACATTGATTCCCCACTTCAGCCTTAAAAACTTTAAAGGCATCCAAAGCTTCGTCCTTGGAACAAAGTAAGTAGAGATACATATATCATGAATAATCGTCTATGAAGGTTATGAAATATTTCGGACCATTTTTGCCCATATCTAGACAGCAAATATCTGTATGACCTGACATTTCATCCTAATTAATCATACAAATATAACAAAATTCATGTACATAGATTTTATTATATCACATGTGATTAACTACAATTAATGTTTATGTTCCATATGTGATCCTTAATAAACTTAAATATATAATTTTAACTAATTAAGGATGATGTGGCTACTCTCTAATTAATAAAAATTATATGGACCACTAAACATTAATTAATTCACAAAATATGCTAATTAAATTGTATAATACCATAAGCAATATGAACAACAAAAATAAAACTTTAATGTACTAAATTATTTAACTTAATATTGCATGTATAATAAGGCAATAAAAATTATACATACAAGACAACCATAATAAATGATTTAGCACGTAAAAACTGAATCATAATTGCAGCATATAGGAATTGACATTCACTGTTTGTTTCAATTCCAATTACCATTTATATTTTATTTAATAGCATTCTGGACCATTTGCATCATATCAGCCGGAANTCATTCTCATTTTTTTCTCTCTCTTCATTTCAACCACATATTCTTCCAATAAAATAATATTACACACAAATCTAAAACTTTTCATAACTTTTCCACCACATAATCTCCCATCAATCACTATTCCAAAAATTTCATTCTCCAAAAAATGGGTTTCAAACACCCTCTAAGTCACATTAAAATTCTCTTTCACATTCTTCTATTCATTTTTCACCACACATTTTTCAATAAAATAATATTTTACATCACATCAAAAAAATTTCCTTATTTTTCAACCACACATTCTCTATCAATCCACTATTCCAAAATACATTCTTACAAAATAATGTGGCTCAAACACACCCTAAGAATGTCATGTTGCATGAATGTCAAAACAAAAGGCTGCTGTCTCTGGCTCCCTTCAACACGGTTAACGCTTTTTTTTTTTTTAAGTTAAGGTCGTCTTCAACCTCTAGCCAGGTCATTTTGACCCGGTTACAACCCAAATAGAAACCCGAAGGTTACTACACCTTACGAACGCCAAAAATTACATTCTAAATCCCAGAATGTTAGAAATCCAATTTTCTAATGATTCCTAACCATTTTTTTCAACAAAACAAAGATTTGAAATGTAAGGAAAAATTACACGAACACTGCAAAAATTTTCAAAAATTCCAGAGACGAAAACGAGCAAGGCAGAGGCAAACAAGGCTCTGAAGATCTAATCATGCTTAACAATCCTATACAGCAATTAGATCAACACGAATTTAAAGGAATTGGACCGAAAACACACCTCCTGCCATTGCCGTTGTCTCGTACACACTCAAGGATATTGAGAAGGATTTATTGAGGGTATTCTAAGCCTTATCTCTCTCGAAACCGATGGTGTGTTTTCTAAATAGAGAAAGTAGACTTCGGGACCCAAAACTTAGTTTTTACTGCCTTTATACGTGTTCTGCCCATCATGGAGCCGTTCTAATGTGTGCAGTTAATGGGAGCGGTTTTGGGAGCGGTTTTGCATGTTATGGAAATAGCAAAAACCGTTCCTAAGGGATGGAATGAATGTGAACCATTTTTGTGGGTTTGTTCAAAACGGTTACGGGAGAAAAACCAACAATCATATCTTCAAAAGACTGTTGGGGCTGTACCTTTTTATCTGTGAAGAGTTCCTTAATATCACTTGGAAACAATATAATTTAAATTCGATATCGTATAACAAATCCTCGACTATCAGCAGTAAAATCACCACCGCAATTAGCTTATATCTCGTATGAGTTATTACCATTGGCATGAACTTATATATTATAAAGAAGCACAATACAATATTGAAAGCATTGCAGAAAATACAAGCATAGGATGATTATATAATACATCATTTGTTGTTGTGTTACAGCATTTTCTTCCACAACCCAAGTTTTATTTAACATATTTAGGAAAGCTGAAACTGAAGGTGAACTCAGCAATCACATTTCCAGACCACTGGAGCCAATTAACTTGGTAAGACCAAATGTAATACCCATAGCCATCCAGCCACCCACCACCACCCTGGGACAAGACCTCGCCACCGGTGTCCCTCCCAGTACTGCCCCGACTCCCCCAAAAGCAACCAATGCTAGGGTGACTGCTGCCACCACCACTCCTAGCCTCACCTTATAGTTTGCTATAAATGCAGCTGCAAGTAATGGTACGACAGCACCTAGAGAAAATGCGAGAGCTGATGCCATGGCTGCCTGCCAAGGTTTAGGGAGTTTTTCCTTTTCCAATTCTACTTCATTCTGTCCATTGTTTGTCACCCTCTTTTCTCTCTTCATTTGGGCTGTTTCTATGTCAAGTTGAGAGTACACAGAGACAAACTCTCCGATTGCCATGCTACAAGCACCAGCGAATAGACCTGCAAATCCAGTAAGAACCATCACCTTGGCATCTTCTTTAACAGCTCCAACTCCCATCATTAATGATGCAATGGAGACCAATCCATCATTGGCCCCGAGCACAGCAGCACGAAGCCATTGTGCCCTCTGTGAGTAATCATAGTATTTATCTTCGGAAAAATTGCATTGATTTTGTTGTGCATTGTGCTCAAGGATCACAATTTGGGGATGGTTTGGGTTTGAAGCAGCCATGAAGACTATACTAAGTAGCAGCTAGCTAAGATGTTATTACTAATGAGAAGTTTCTTGTTCAAGACACAATACTGCATGAATGAGTGAAGGGTTATTTATACTAAGGGGTACTTAAAAATAGTGTTAATGGGGATGAATGCAGTGGTAATAAAGAAAAGAAAAAGGTGAAGTGTGAGGAGCACAAGCCTTGTTTTATTTAATCTAAAGCAGTAAAGCACTTCTTTTTTAATATTTTGTAGCTGGACTAGCACGACTAGACAGGATTAACTACCATTTTTCATCTAGATCCCCTCATTCTTTCTGTAGGTGGGATTGATCAATCTCGCATCCTCTTGGTAATGGATTTCATTTTAGGAGAGCACTCGATGGTAATGATACATTTAAAAATGGAGAAGTGTGTTCTCCACACAAAAGTGGGAAAAACTTTCATTAAATTACTAGAGGGAGTGTGCATTTCACACAATGGCCACAAGCCACTCTATTTAAATGAAATAGTGCACACAGTGGTTTATTTTATATTGAAGCATTTTAACTCCAATGGATGAGAAAACTAATAGTTTTTTTCTTTGCAGTCTCCTACCTTTTTGGCCATGACAAATTTGAAGAAATTTGCAATTATCTCTATTATATCATGACATGAAATGAAATGAAACTCGCGATAAAAATGAGTGAGACAGCAGGCTATAGCCGACGGAGTTAAACTCTAAGGTATGTGACAATAACGGTATGTAACAATGATAGAGGTTTTGATTACATTTACGAGAAAAATTATTACTCTAATGTGTTGTATTCTTAAAAGTTAATCCAAGATTTGCGACTCTTTTAGAGAACATGACTTTGTTATTAGGTCTTCCCATGCTCCTCTCCCTCGTTTCGTTTCTATTTTGGGCTTTATACAATTGATAGCTAGATATCTCTCCAATACAACATAGGTCATACCAACTATCTTGAAAACCCACCAAAGCACAAAGACAGGGTTTTTCAAAAAAAGGGATTTAGCTAAAGCTACAAGCCATTTATCATACATGGATTTTACTAGAATAATTCTAAGTGTACATTCCATGGTTTATATCTTTTTTGACATCCTTTGCGTTTTCAAAAAGAAATGGGCAGGAAAGCAATTTTTTTTTTTAATTGACGAATGGTGTGTTGTCAAGTGGTATTATATAAACGATTATGTCAAATATGATGTACATGTAACATGATTGATTCTACTATACATCTCAATAAAATGTGGACTATTCCATGTTTAACCATTGATTCACATAACCATTATTATTTCACATTAAGGCAATCTTCAATTCCTTTCAGGATAGTACTTGGAAATGGTATACAGCATAAGTAGATGAATTTATAGGATGTAATGTGAAAATGTCAAAACGACCCTTTGATATATTAGACGGAACGTGGTCAAGGGAAAAAGGTATGTGAGGATGCTCTATCCAAGTCAAAGCAGGATATATGATATATGTCATAGAGATGTTAGACTACGAGAGGAAGAAAATGCTGGAATTTGTGCCAAGTGAAACTGTTGCTCAAGAAACTAACATTATAATTCTTGAATTCTGTTATTGATTCTCAAGTCAACTGAGGACTACACCAAGGTGACACCACTAACTGATTTGTTAACAGTGGTCGCTAAAGGTATAAATAAAACCCTCCGCTGTTGCCCTAATCCATCTATGCGTTTAATTTTCCTTGGCTGTCTTCTACAATTCTCTGTGTCTTCTTCTTCGTCTTCTCTGTAGTCTTCAACCTTTGGTGAGAAGATTTCTGTGGTTTTTTTGTTAGATTAAGAATCTGAGTAATTTTTTTGGGAGAAGGTTGATAGTTTAATGATTTGAGTTTTTTTGGTTCATATAAGTAACTTTTGAATGTTTGTTCAAGGGTCTGGATTTAAGGTTTATGTTTGATACACGAGGGTACAATAATTTGAGCCTATTTTTTGTGACACTTTGATGATTTGGTAAAGACATTAAGAATTGAAATTTTTTTGTATAGTGATTTGTACATTTTTGTCCATTACTGTCCAATTTTTGTATAATACCTAAAAAAAAAAACTCCATGACATGTGTTCGTAGATAATCGAAAGTAGGTATAGTTAAAAGCCTAAAGAAAAAAAAATGAGTTATTACCATTGGCATGAAGGTTATATTCTAAATGAGCAAAATACAGTTGAAAGCCTTGTAGAATACACCATTAGTTGTCGTCAGGGCCGGTCCTGTGATTTTCAGGGCCCGAGGTGAACTCCATAAATTAGGCCTCCCAAAATTAACGTCAATATTTTCAATATAGTTACTGTGTACGCCTGTACAATTGATCCTACAATAACTATTCTTATAAGCCGACCAAGTCACATTTATATACGCCGACAGGACTTCAAACATTTTTAATATATTTAATAATGAGTTAGGGCAAACCATCGCTTACTTGAGAAGCAGAATTTCGACAAAAATTATGGAATCACACCCTTCAGAATTCCACAATCACATCTCACAAGCCCGTAGTCACATCTAATCGTGCATCATTTCAATAACATATAACAAACTACACACAACAACATGAACCTAGAACACTTTTAGCTAAACTACACACAGTACAAAAATTATCTCATCATTTCAATTCCAAGAGTGTTGACATGTGAGCATTTGAAGAACTTTCAAGACCTTGGAGATGCCAAGAATTTTATGACCAAATAGGAAGGGATTATCAAAACCTACATAGAACCTAGAAATGAGCTTAAATATAATGTAATTCCATTCAGCAAATTTTTCTGAACTATTTAATTAACTCTACAAAACCCACTAGAATTATTCACAAAAGGGAACTGCAATCGTGCAAAGTTCAATCAACGAATTTTCCACTATTCAATTTCTTTACTCTCATCCTTATGTAGAAATTCAGAATTAATTATTTTGGATAATAATTATAAGCCAGAATGACTGGAAACGAGTTCCGATTTTTTTTTTATCCTGCGACATCAATCTGACGAATTCCTAGAAATGAGCTTAAATATAAAATTGAGCAGTTGACCTTGAAAATTTCAAATGAAATTCCATTCAGCAAATTTTTCTGAACTATTTAATTAACTCTAACAAAACCCACTAGAATTATTCACAAAAGGGAACTGCAATCGTGCAAAGTTCAATCAACGAATTTTCCACTATTCAATTTCTTTACTCTCATCTTCATGTAGAAATTCAGAATTAATTATTTTGGATAATAATTATAAGCCAGAATGACTGGAAACGAGTTCCGATTTTTTTTTATCATGCGACATCAATCTGACGAATTGAAAGATTAGAAGGCAATTATCGCCGCAAAAGCCCCTTAATTCAGGTAATTGTGGAAAAAAAGATCACTTATTTTTGCCTTTTGGGTTGAAGTTTACCGTGTAAAAATGTGTTATTTTCAGGAAGGTGTAAATTGAATTCTTAATTACAATATTTGTGCTTCTGTTATTCAGATGATGTTGATTCTACTTCAGAGGAGAAAAGACCAGACTTGTACGTTGAGTAATAACAAAAAAAAAAATTACCTACTCAGAATCAGACTCATCACCATTGTTATCAAACTGGCTGTAGTTAATCCAAGGTCTATGAAACTGGCGGAACTTGTCGTGCTACAACCTTTTTCTCCACAACCTGAGTATTATTCAACTTAGGAAGAAAAAACTGAAGGTGAACTTGTCAATCACTATTTCAGACCAGTGGATCCGTGTAACTTAGCAAAGACCCAATGTAATGCCCATAGCCATCCGGCCACTGAAAACCACCCTAGAAGATCTTATTGGAAAAAATTGAGTTGTGGCTGACTTTGGCAAGAATTTTGAGCGGTACCCGTTTGGCTATTTTGGGATATGAAAGTTGATTTGTGTTCTTCTTCATGAGTATATCGAAATCACATACTTATTTGTCAAAAATGATTTTCGGGTGATTGAAAAATTGAAACTCAAAATATGTCATGTGAAAGGAGTTTATGTTAGTAAGAAAACTAAAAAAAAAAAAAAAAGTTTGTCGCGCATAGGAAGTGGATAAAAACTAAAACGACTTTATAAAGGATTACACTTTAAGAATGATGTAATTATGTGTAGCATAGAGGCTCTCTCCACGTACATGCAGGGGGTGCAAATCACGAACCAAAAGAGGTTTCGGACCTTGAAATTGTATGAGGACACGACCTGCGTATACGAATGTCGAACCGGATTGACCAAAAATTGGCCCCTTAGAAGAGCCTACTTTTTACTACATTTTTTATTTTTCAACTTTTCACTTTCTGAAACAGTTAAAACTCCTCTTGTAATTGTCATTAGTTAATGGACAAGTTACCAATTTTATGAGTCTATAAGTGAATCGTTGTCCACTTTTCTCAAAGCACCAAAAATCAGCTACATACAAAATTTATGTTTGCATAAAGTCCTCGTTCAGTTCATCTGCATACAATTTTGATTTTTGTCCGTTAGTGATATAATTCGGGCACAAAGTTGGTTCGCTAAAGTAGTATCTGTGGTGCTCGGAAACTACTGGTTCTACTGTTGTATCCTGAAAAATGGACGCTCAGTTTAAACCTCAAGCACAGACGGTGAGGGAGCGAATCCGTTTTAAGGAAACTGTGTGTAACACAGGCCTCGGGTTAAAAGTTTCTTTTTATTTAACTTTTGCAAGTGTTAGTTTTGTCACTCGTTACAATTTTATTACTTGTTATACTTTACTGCAATTTGACACATCATTGAATCTGCTAGAATATTAAATCTGGTATGTATAATTAAATTTGTTGTGTTCATAGTTGTTGAACTTGCTAGTGCATATCCTGTTTACGGCAAATACCGTATGAATAGCAGAATTTCAATTCAGTATGGCGTGCTCACGCCTTAAGTAAAATTCACTAATAAGGTATATATTCTGCATATCCGGTATTCAATTAGTAAATCCGATATTCTGTTTCGTGAAGCTTGTCCAACAATATTCAACAGATCTTGCCACTAGTGCCCCGCCCATCAC